GTCACATTAACGCAATACTTCCAACATTCCCCATTGCAATAAGCTCCTATATGCTGGCAGAGAACCACAGTATCTGATAACTTCAAGTTGAACAACATCAGCAACCCTTAGAGAAACTGAGAGGGAATGGCCTAATACCCGAACCCATAAAGAGAACAACAATGACCTCATCCGCCATCAGCAAAATAAACTCGTTTCTCGTGTTCAGCTCTAAAAACACCCTTCTCTCACACACTACTGTAATACGAGTGTACGCCTTCAGACCCAAAGGGTTGAAAAAAAAAAATTACTCAGCTCATGCAAGTATCATAGCCGCCGAATAATCAAGAACCAATGAAAAGCGCCCAATCACCAAGATATATGAAACCCAATATATATAAAGAAATTATATAGGGTTCGGAAAGTAAATGTGGGTGAGATGGAGAAAATAACAGGTTTGTAGATAGCGGAAGACAATATCTCCAAACATCCTCTACTCTCTTATTCCGAGTGATATAACATGATTGAGACTGCCAACGTGTTAAACCGCCCACGGCCCACAAGATCTCACAATAAAGCTCTTCTACCGCAGTAAGTCCTTGAGCTGCTCTCGTCGCTGGGTTGAAGTCGAGGGGGGGATTTGGAGGCGACGCACTAAAAAAGGCGCGACTTCGATCAGCGACGTGGGTGGGACAGGTATATGACTTACTGGTACTGTACTGCTACGCTATGACCGATTGCATTGACAACTCTAGTGACCCGGCCAATATTCCCCTATCAGCTCTTCCGTGCCATAGCAATCCCCTTATATTGAACCAGAAGGAACAATCCGGTCAACACTCTACCTGAGTGGCCCCCCGAAGCACCCACAATGAAAAGCATAAAGTTTTCTGAGCATCAATCAGGGGGTGGAGAAAAGAGCCCTTCGAGCACTTTATTCGGGTATCTCCCCGATTGGTCTGACATCTCTTCCTCTGCCAAATTCTAAATAGGGAACTAGAGATATTTATGCTTCGTTTTTCTGTTCACCTATACTCGAGTATATGACAAGCACTGGGCTCATGCAGATTCGGGTGGTTAATTACCTTAGCTCACTCCATGGCATTAAGGCCTGGTGGGTCCTCTACACGGTATTCGCACTACTTGTGCGGCCGATACATATATTGGTCACGTGGATGTCAAGGCAAAGAAAGCTGGTGTGAGTTCCCGCCCCCGGCCTGCTCTGAAAAGGCACGTGACAAGTATATCTATCCTCCGCACTTGCAGTCATCAAGGGGAGGGACAAAGGTATTTTGGCTGGCAAAAACAGGAAGTTCATAAATTCAGGTTAACAAAAATACTTGGCACTAACCTCTATTCGTCAACCACCCGTTTTCGTCGGGCCCCCCGTTGAAGATTGGGCTAGTGGGCCCCACAGTGTCAAAATACCAAGTGTCTACCCAATTAATTTTTCAATACCGGTACGTTATGCTTGTAAATCAAGACAGGAAACAACCCTACCCGGTCAGCGGGTTGTATTCTGTAGGTCATGGTGACGATTTGCTAGTCTATAACTTCCAACAGTTAATCCTAATGACGGAAGCCCTGCTCTTGTCATGTTTATAAACCCTCCAACTCCAACTTCCATACTGGAGTGCTTGGTCCCCACCGAAATCTGAAAGTGAATTCAACTTTCCAATTCTCTGTCAATTCTTTATAAATCAGCAGAAGACAAACCAGAATCATCAGATCCAGCTAGAGAGGCAATCTTGGTCAAAGGAGATCCGCGCACGGTATCGAGACAGAGCAAGAGGAGTATTGAAGAAGCAAACCCTCGGAGACGGGATTGGCCATCCCAGAGAGCCCGAGGGGCAAAACATGAGAGGGGTTGGTGACATTCCCCCCCCTCCTTTCCCCCGATACACTGGTAGATCCCTTTCCGTTTTTATGCACCCAATGATCTGATACAAGCTGAATCACACATGTCCAGCGGCAACCATCGGGGCTCGAATCAGCTGAAAGCATTCACTTCACAAGGGTATACGCGAGGAACCCAACTATACATCTTCTTCTCATAAAACCTCCATCACATAGATTACATTTCCACTTAGGATAGCCGAGAGCCGTGTCGGGCCTGCTCCATAAAAGGCGGGGAGGCCACTCGGCAAGGGAGGTGTTATCGGAAAGGCATTACCAGGCGAGGACATTTTCGGGGGACCGTTGATAAGTTGCTAGGAGAAAGGAAGAAATAAGGCAGCCGGCCAGATTGAAGCCTCGTGATATCCTTCCAAAATGCACCAACAGGGAATTGTAAAGTGCACATCCTCAATCGCCTTTCACGTGTTTATTTGGGTTGGAGTTCTACCGGCGGATTGAGGATCCGAGAGGGAGGGATGCAATGCTCGGTCAATCGCCGTCACTTTGCTGACAGGATGGTGTAATTATGTTTCTAACCTCTATAAACCACTATCATAGCCCCATTCATCTATCATATAGGGCGATACTCCCTTACTCGCGAAACGAAAAAACGCCATTAGAAGGAGGATAAAAGAAAGGAGCGCGATCACAGAGTTGCACTTTCCTTATTTTTTCCCCCACTAATCTGCCTTCGCACCATGCACCCTCCCCAACGACGAAAGAGGTCAGCTTGCTCTGTTCCTCCCCCCGGATGATCGCTCCGACGAACCTTGATAGTCAGACCCACAGCAGTTGGATTAACGGTGGGTCACCCCCGCCTCGGCTAAAAGAGCTCTCCCCCTATCAAACGCTAAAAATGCTCTAGCATCGAACCTTCACCTAACTTGGAGACAGACCGTTATTCCGCTGCTTTCCATCTTACCACAATCGCCTTGAGACAAGGTGAAAGGCATTTCTGTGTATGGGCAGCGTCAGAGGGGTGCTACCCCGAGATGGTTCGTTATGATTGGAGCCATCCTCGTCAAAACAGAGTCGGCCATACCGGCCTACCTGCTCCGCCTCCGAAATTTTCTCAATGGTTTCGGATCGACGGCTGCCTAAAACAATGCAAGCCACAGCACACGCAATTATTCCTAAATTCATGAAGTATCAATCGACATTTCTTGATTTCGGCTGTGATATGTTCCCGTAACGACAACCAACAAGGTCACCACCCAACCTTCTAGGAAACTCTACCATTGTCCCATTAGGCGGTGGGTAGTCTGACTCCAGAACAGCCTTCAGGGATGCGAAATCGGTGGCCGCTAACGAGATGCACTCTGTCGGCTTGTTTTTGTTTATTCGTATAATTAATTGCACGGGTGGATACTCGAGCAGTCCCTTGCGTAGGGCTGAGGCATCACATCAAGGCCCCCAGGATTCTCCACTCACATCGAGCGGTCGATGACTCGGATATTCGACGTATGGGAAACATGTGTCGAGTGAGGCAGCCAAAGTCATCGATCCACGGGCTCTCCCTCTAACTCCGCATTTCCGCTCTCCATACGAACAGCGATATCAAATCAGAAATCCTAAAGAAAGCTTTCACGGCTGCAATTCCTTTGCGCAATCTATAAGAATACGAGTAAACAATCATATCGCTGCGTAGGGCTGAGGCCCCCAACAAGTCCCCATTTTCAGGCGAAAGATGAATCACTTTTCTTATTGGATATCACCAAAACTCTACCCCAAGGTGGATGTGGGCTAAGTTGACGGATACCGTGTTCTAGGCCCAACGGAGGAGCTCACAACCGTTGGAGATTAGGACAAGACTATGGTGAAAGCTGGGAGTAGGAGAATGGACTGTGTTCAGTGAAAGTTTGGTTTCGTATAAATCTCATTCGCTCATAACATGTTGGCACTGTACTGTACAGTACCTTTGATTGGTTGTCATGCTTCAGAGAGGGGTTCCAAGAGGAAGGCACACCAAACTAGGTAGTTGCAAGGCATCAGAGAAAGGGCCGCCCACTCCATCAGATGTCAAACTTTAGCGGAGGTTACCAGTAGATGGGTGTAACGAAACACAAAGCCAACACGAGAACGGATACCCTCCAGAGCGGTTGTCTCGAGGATAGCAATGCCGGTACTGCTCGTAGTCTCAGGCAAGAAGTACCAGGACATAGGTTTTAGGAAATATGTGGCCAATAATCCCCGCTTGTCTGTGTGTGAGATCAAAACCATACTCGTCGTAGTCTACAAGTACCCTCAATTTTCTGTCACCCATCGCTCGGGGCCAACTGGGATATCAATCTCGGTTACCCCGCAGAAGCCACTCGTCGGGTTTAGGGTGACTGGTTTTTGGATCAGGGTTGCTCCCGCAAGCATCCACCAGCGCAATGCAAAACAATTGAACTTCCCAACGTGGAAAGATCGAGTACCGGTACCAGTACGAGTACAGTGCTCGAGCATCACATTGTACTCGTACCGCACTCGCACAACACAAGGATCATGAGGACACGGGGCGAATAGGATATGCAATATCAGCTCGGCTGAAGATAAGAAGAGGAAGAGCCAAGGAAATGATGTAGGCTACAATCCTGAGCTACTCGAGTGCCTCCATAAGGTGCTTTACTCGTACAAATTTCCCAGGCTATCACTACCCTACTCTCGCTTGGGTTTAATGATGACGAGATCTGCGGTTGATTGCCCCGCTTCCCGGCGCAACCATAGCGGAGCCTTCCGTTGCCAACCCCCCTTGTGCCAATTTTGGTACTGACCCACAACTACTCGAGGAGTGCTCTACTCGTATTACGAGTAGTGATATAGTACTCGAGCGCTACACCTACAGTACTGGTACTGGCATGCATACGAGTACTTGTACTCGTACAGTACGTTCGCACCGAGCCAATGCTACAGCCACAGACCTAGTAAGGATGCGGAAATACCGGTATCCGCTCGCGATCAATGACGTCAAATATAGCCGATCAATAATTCGTCCAATACACGCGGTCATCGTGTTAAAACAATAGCCAAGCGTTATTAGAGGCATTCAGCCCCGGGGTTGAAAAGTTTGTGCAAGTTTTCGAGTTGAAGGACTTTAGTGTGCAACACCTTTTTTGCCTACGAATCTTGCAGACCCACTTGAAACTTGGCAACCGAAAAACGCTTTCTAGACCCGAGGGCTGAATGCCTCTCTCTACTCGAGTATGATCAAGTATCGCAGCAGGCATAATATTTGCACGAACAGGAAACGCCGAGTGTCTTGCCCTTAGCATGCTCAAATCCAAAGTGCTAGGCAGCATGGGATACCATAGAATCCACCCGTTATGATAGCTTATGCATTTACTACTACCAAACCTCAACAGTATGACTGATCCCCCTGAGAATGAAACAACCACACACCAGTAACTTAACTTAATGCCGTATCGCATCGACGGTTAGCCTTACCATAGGAGCAGCCATGGTGACACTGTTCATCCAGATATTGCTGCGAGGGGATGCTTTACGCGGCCAGCTTAAGAAACCAGTTCCATACGACACGCCGAGGAGGAGCCCTAGAAAAATCCGATTGCTGCACTCTCAGATGGCTATATAAGCCCCCCCGTTGTTCCGCCTTTTCGGAATCAATCAGCGGAACAAAAACTCCAGACTATACACCAAGCAAGATTCTAAACTTTTGACACTTTAAAACTACAATATTCCCCAATCCCAAAGCACAATGACCGAACAAATCCCCAACCAGTACATCATCGTCTTCAAGCCCGAGGTCCCCAAGGCCAGATGTCAGGAGCATTGCCAATGGGCAACCGAGCTTCATGTCCAAAGAATCGGTGCGCTCTCAGCCGACAGCGAGGAGCCCGAGACTTCCGGCGTTTTACACCATTACAGCTTCCCGACCTGGAATGGCTATGCCGGGAGTTTTGACGAGGTTGCCAAGAATGAGATTGAAAGCAGAGAAGAGGTATGGTCAGAATTTTCACACTTTCCCTCACGCCCACTAATGGGAGCTACAGGTCGACTTCATCGAGCCCGACTACAAAGTCTATACCAAAGCCCTCATCACACAAAAGAACGCCCCTTCATGGGGCCTCGCCCGCACCTCACACAACGAGAGACTCACCCCCGATACCAGGACTACATACACCTACGACAGCTCCGCTGGCGAGGGAACAAGGGCCTACATCATTGATACCGGCATCCTGGCCGAGCACGAGGTTGGCATTTTCCCAAAGCGTCGGGAGAGTGCTTTCACTAACATTTATAGGACTTTGGCGGACGTGCGACCTTTGGATATAACGCTGTCCCTGGCTCCGCGAACACCGATAAGAATGGTCATGGAACACACGTTGCCGCCACCATTGGCGGGACTAAATTTGGTATTGCAAAGAAGACCAGGCTCATTGGAGTCAAGGTCCTGGGGGATAGCGGACAAGGGACTAACTCCGGTGTCATCGCTGGGCTTCAGTGGGCTGTCGAACACGCGGAGAATGATGGTGCTATCAACAAATCTGTATGTCCTCATGTCCATCCCCTCTCATAGAATCTATACTAACGATATAGGTCGCAAACATGTCACTAGGAGGTGCAGCCTCTCGAGCAATGAACGCTGCTGCCGCAGCCGCAGTCCGCATGGGCATGACCCTTTGTGCAGCTGCCGGAAACGAGGATGTATGAAACATATACCCCCCCCTCTACCTATCCATCTATCTCTCTCACACACCACCACCTACACATCCCAAACTAACATCTCTTAAACCCCCAGCAACTCGCCGACAGTAGCTCACCAGCTTCTGAGCCCACCGTTATCACCGTCGGAGCCATCAATGAACAGGACGCCATGACTGACTTTTCAAATTATGGCAAACGTAAGTTCCCCGCTCCCACCAGCACCTGCGGTTTCAAATAACAAACAAATACAGTCGTCGACATCCTTGCACCTGGAATGAATATCACAAGCGCCTGGATCGACACCCCCGGCGGTAAAGGCTTAAACAAAACCCTTACCATTAACGGCACTTCCATGGGTAAGTCACTCCCCTCTCACCCGCAACTTACAGACCCTAACAAGCGCGGATAGCAACGCCCCATGTCACCGGTCTCGCAGCCTACCTAATCGCTAAAGAAGGTCTAAAGGGCTCCACCGCCGTGACTAGAAGGATAAAAGCCCTTGCAGCCAAGAACTCCAATGATGTGGGCAACCTAAAAGCTGGCACTCCGAAGCTCATCGCTTATAACGGGGCTGCCAGCGCCGAGTAATTAGCCTTGCTTCTCTCCCTCATACTTCACTTTCTTTCGGTTATTGATGCCTTATGGTTTTGGGGGGGAAGGGGAAGTGATGATTGAATAGGTTTTGGATCTTTTCACTATGCGGATGTTGAGCATAGGGGGTCAACCGGCTCGGCGGATGAATGAATAAATCAATGGATGGGTGGGTGGAGCCATGGATGGGAATTCTATAAGACGTATGAATACAACAAATATTCCAGAAGAGATTTTACGTGATTGCCATGAGAATGTTCCCCCCTTCTTTTTCTTCTTTTTTTCTTTTCCCAACCATGAATTTTGTGCTCGGAGATCTCTACGATAGAGAGGTTTAGACTGCGAATCCCCTGGCAGAGTTCCATTGTTATTCGTCTAATTGGCTACTTTCTCGCACCGACATTCCATAACGGCTTAAGATCATGTAATTAGGACCCAGAGTATCAAAATAGTAACATTCACAATATGGCCATCATGTGACCGACGTGAGAAGGATGGAAGGGGAGGAAAAAAACGCACAAATTCACCCTTGCAAAGCGAATTACCGAAGAATATTCATGGTACAGATCCACCGCCCGTATAAGTTACTAAGCACCGAACAAAGTAACCCAACACAAAAGGAACGACGCGATAAGATCCCCGGATAGAAACCACTCCACAATCCCACAAAAACTTCCGATATCAGGAAAAACAAAATTCTACCCTATCACTCCCAACTCGTTATCCCGCTCGACCAATTTCCGAACCAGGATGTGATCCGCAAGCCCTAGATACCAACAGGAGACCAGAAATCCAGTACGGAACGTGATCTACATGAGGCCGAAACTGAAAGGTAGGTTGAAGACGCAGGCTGTTAACAAAATACTCGAGGGAACCGGAACACTTGTGCCGCAAACGGTGCCAGAACTGCCGGACCCGCCGGAAGCAGGAAACATGGGGTCGCTACTTCCTCTTGCGCTTCGTTAAGAGCGGGTGGGTACTTTTGGGGGCTGTCATCAGGTGCCTTGGTATCGATATCTTCGCTTTCTAGAAAACTGCTTCACCATATCCGAATTCGAGTCTCCGGTAGTCTGAGTGCCTCGAGCTCGGTTTTCATTGCCTTCTACGTAGGGATTGACGGATTGCCCTTCCAGGAGTAGCTTCGTCACATGCTCTCTTCTGTAACAGACAGCGTAGGGAAGTGGGGTTCGCCCTTCATTATCCTCCGCGCCGCGACCAACACCCTGCCCTCCTAAGAGTAACCTCACCACACACCCCCACCGTAGCCAGCGGTGTAAAGAGCGGCGTTCGGCCCATATCATCTACTGCGTCGGCATCGACATCTTGCCTTTCTATGAGCAACCTCATCAAACCCTCTTCATCGTAACTAGCAGCGAGGCGGGGTGGTTTCCGGCCTTCAATAGTTATTTCGGGATAGACATCCTATATCTTTCCGGGAGCCACCCCACCGCATCCCCATTACCACAATGAGGAGGATGAGAGCATAGCACCCGGCCACTCCCACCCTCTGCGTCGTGACTAGTGCCCTGTCTTTCCAGGAGAAGCACGAATATCCTCACGTCCCCTTGTTGGGTAGCATAAAAAAACGCCGCTTAGTCCAAGGTATCGCTCGACAGGGATTGACGTATTCTCTTGCCCCCAGGGACTTCCTACACCCTCATTCTCCCCGGAGATAGCCCAGGGTAGCGCCGTTCAGGGTAAAATATCATACCTGCCCGACTAGGTCCGACACCTTCCCTTCCTAGTAACAACTTCACCGCACGCTTATAGCCCCCATGGGCAGCACAAATGAGTGGTGTTAAACCCATATCATCCAAGGAGCCACTGCCGAATTGTCCCCCGCTCATCAAGGACATGGACACCTTCGCATTCCCCATCTCCACCGCTACGACGGAGTAGGCTTCATCGGCTCTTGGCGGTTGCTTAGAGTGCGAAATCCACATCAACACTCCCGTGCCGAGTATCAGCGCGCCCCCACCCCGCCCCGCTATACGAGCTATGGCAGTGTATGTATCTTGCAGACCTAAGCCCTTTGCCACCTTGTTAGGTTGCTCCCTTTCTCGCAGATACTTGCCTACGCTAGAAGGACATTGGCGTTCAAGAAAACCAGCAGAAATCTGAATATCATTGTCAGTTCAAAGTAAACTCATTCATGACTCTTCGACGACATACCGGTACATTCCCAAGGCGAGTTCCGTAACACTCCCCACACATCTCTTCGTAGATCCCCGCCTATTCCCTCGGGCAGCGGGTCCATCTCCAACCTCACAAGATACCCGATATCCCCCCCCCAAACTAGGTTTACGCACACAGTATCTGCCCCTCAAGCGAAACGCTTCCCAACCCCTGTACGATTCGCCGTAGGGATCGCGGAAGTTCAGGCCGATTACCTACCGGAAACCCGTCCAGTACGTCGATAAAGAGAAAAGACCATGGTAAAGGTATCAGAGATTCGATTAGCATTTCAAGAATTTCAGAGAGTTGGAGGCCCCAGCTGTCAAGCTCTCCCTTTGCCTCTTTGAATGTATCAATCGTATCCCCGGAGACCCGACCCAACACGCCCGTAACCCGTTTGTGGGCACCAACACCTGTGCGATGGAACGTCCCTCGTAAGTCTGGAAGCCGGAGCGGAAACATGCCACTATCGTACTGGTACAACATATCCTCTGATCACACAAGACGTCGATCACCGGAGAGCTAGTTTACCCTATTTAGCCTTACGTACAGTACCACGTCACGGCATTCACGTTCCTTACCAGAGAAATATCTTTCCTACTCCCGGATGACCATAGCAGAAAAAGGTAGTGCTCTCTATTTTTCCATCTACCGTAATAAACCGATCCGTTACCAAAACCCGCTCATCCACACCATTCATCCGGTCGGCACGAACGCCCCAACGCCTTCCCCGAGGCACTAATAGAGATAGCCATTCGAGGAGCCGGTGCGGTTCATCTGTTACTGATATCCTGTAACTGTTCAGCGCACTATTATAACGCTCCGATACACCGTCGTAGTTGACGTTTCCAGAGGATTGCTAGCGATGAGATCGAGCATGCCACCTGGGACGCCACCGCGAATGCCGAGACCAAGTGGCGTCGAGAGCCAGTGAAATTATTTGTGGCTCAGCCCCGGGCAGGCTAAGGGCTTCATGATCTGGCTTGTGCCAAGGAAAACCACAATGTTGAGTATGATATGGCACAGGCGAGAGTAAATACCCATAGCTCCACAGGTTTACAGCTGCGCAACAATTTGCAATCAACAACAATGAGAATATAGTAAAACATGATATAAGACATGGCCAGCTTGCAGAAATAAGATACCCCAGACCATTCCAACCTCCAGAGAGTTCTTTCAAAACTGCAGCGTATAACTTATGAAAGAAAAAAGCCAAAAACTCACACGCAAAACATCCTACGGGTACCGCACAGAACGACTTTCACAACTCCAATAGCCCACACACCCAGAATGCTCCATGTCCGAGGTAGTTGAGGTCAGCCATAATATATCTCTCCAACGCAAACTTGCCAAGTATCATACCATAACAGGTGGCAGCAAAAGCCACAACGTCCAAATCCCCGCAAGAAAAATTCCCCAACCCGTTTTCCCAACCTCCCATTGCACGAGTAGTCTTCTCCATTCTTTTACCTACCCGTAAGGTCGTGGCTCGGGCGGTTGAGTAATTGCGGTTCGAGAACCCCTGGCTTTGGTGCGTGTTACCCACCATTCCCGCTTCCGCTTCCGCGCTTCTTACATACCGGAAACGTAAAACGGGTGATATCGAGTGATTGTCCAAGTGGAGAATCGGATATGACGATACCTAAGCAAAGCTACCCAAACTAACCATAATCTTCGCAATTTCCCAATATTCGCTCGGGGGAAGAGGGCACACTTGAGTCGAGTGGTCCGTAAATAGCCCTGCTGAATTTCAAACATGAATCATTGCCTTTTTCCCATGCACAATTTGACATTCATTCACTCATCAATCAAGACCTAAGCCCTAACCACACTTGAAACAAATCCAAGTGGTAAGCCTCACCAGCTCAATAAAACTCCCTGTTGCACTTGACTTTCTATGCCAGAACCCTCCCTCCATACCACAGGCGAAAGACACAAACCTAAACCCCGAGTGACCACCGGTGACACTAAACCACAAACACACAACACCACGTCCACAGCCATCTCCACCTCCTTCCTTCCTTCCCCTCTTCCTTCCTCCCCCACCACCCCCTCCAACCGCCTATTTAGCACACTACCCGCTCCTCTTCATCCCCCCGTCAACCACCTCTTCCCTCTACCACTAAAAAACACAAGGAAACCCACAAAAAAAAAAAAATGACGCCTAATCGCTACCTATACCTCTACACCACCCCCGATGACCCACCAAACTGGCTCCTAGGCACACAGATCTACCAAGCTATCGGACAAATCTTCGAGTACCTGTTGGAAAGAGCGGAGGGCGCCACAGTGATCCTCATCTTGTCCATCCTCGCCCTAGGCATCTGGAAGCAGGAGATGTGCGTCGTCCTCATTGTCGGGATCGTGGCGGTCTGCTTCCGAGAGTGGACCTTCGTCTTCACGTTCATCATTCAAATGAGCTTTATAATACTGGCCGTGGCCGGTATCGTGAATTTGGTGCTTTGGAAGTTGTTCCTGAAGGGTGTTTGGGAGCAGGTTTGTCATGGGAGACGGGCCATTGGCTCATTCATCAGTGAGGCGCCTGGGCGGACTTTCGGAGCTCTGGCTGGCCGGTACGGCTGGTATGACATTGGGTTGGTGGCTACCCGCCCGCTTGGCTGCGTGGAATATATCGGGCTCCGGATCACACACCTGTGCGAGTTGTCGGTGACTTACTGGAAATGGGTATCTGAGCACCGGGTTTTAGCTTGGGCGCAGACCCCGATTTCCTACTTCAGCCGAACGCCCCACGAAGTAGCAGAGCGGAATGATAAAGAGGATATCACAATCACAACCTATAGCCCCGAATCTACCGCCCCGACCACACCAACAGTAGTCCGTTTAATGCACTGCACAGGTTCCACATCCACGGACTATGTAAACCCCTACCCCTCCTGGCAATCAAGCCGAGACCTGCTTCTTCCAGAGTCCTATCCCCTTCCTGCCGCTGTGGCCCCAGATACTCCCACAACCCAACAACTCCTCGATGCAGACCCTTTCAGGACCCCAGTGCCGCTCCGAGCTGGAGACCCCGGGTTCCTGAATCCACACCCCAATTCTGAAGATGGGCCGCGCGACGAGAAACCCTTCACGGAAAAGGAGAGGGAAAAATTGGAGATTGCGAGAACACTTGGGTCCAAAGGTCCAAGACCATTGAGAAAGTTCAAGCCCGGCCGTGGATCGGAGCCGGGGTTTTTGGATGCGTATCCGTACCCTCACTCGATGCCGAGAAAGCGGCTTGAGGGAGATGTTGGTGGGAATTTTGAGTGGGATGGTAGTGTCGGGAGTATTATCCCTAGAGAGAGAAATGGTAGGACCACCAATCTAGTGCAGAATACAATCGAACATGAATCGCTGACTTCTCCTGGACCAGAGCCCCACGGGAATCATTCCAACAAACTTGCCATACCTGACGCCGATGGGAGGAGTATCGCAGAGAGCAGTACCGCAGAGAGCGATGCAGATGTGGGAGAGCATGAGAAAGTTTCGGAAACCAGTATTAACTCGGCGGATAGTAAGGAAACCACCGAGCTCTACTCGTGCGACAGGACCATCGAAGTGGCAACTGGCTTAGTTACCAGTTCCGGTGAAGACGTCTATCAGAGTTATTTCACGCAGCTGCGAATAGTTGATGCCAACAAGCAGGATACTACGGGGAACAAAATCGACGCGATGGACACCAGAGCCACCAGGCCAGCAAAAGGACATTCGAGAGACGAGGAACCCCAACCGGGCTCCAAGAGAATTAGATATTAAGTTCCATCCCCATTCGCTAATTAACAATATAGGGACCAAATAACTCCATACGGACCACAGAAAAAACCGTCCGCCGAAAGCACCACCTGATACCATGCACAAGTCTAGTTAATTAAATGTAACCAACCCCGACAAAGTAGTTAGTTTCAACAAAACGTTTATAAAGCCACCCCTATAACCTTCCCTCACCTTCCCCACCAGCGTCCGTGTCCCCACGCTTAATCGCCCTCATCAACTCATACAGCTGCGCAATCTGTTGATCTATTCGCCATCACCGCCATCAGTACCAAAAACCAAGCGAACCGAAAGAGCCCACAGACCACTCATTTTCTCCAACTTTCCCTCCTCAAGTTTCTCGTCCTTCCACGTCTCGCCTTCAACCGCCTGCGCGTACAATTGCCATTCCTTCAAGAAGCCGACCTGACATATCCCCATTATCCCCCCTACCTAAGGAAAACAATCAAAGTGAAGGAAGGAAGCGAACAATATACAAGGGATTCTCGATATCCCTGTGCCGTCTAAACTCCGCCTTGACATACTCGTCTCCGAGAACTCGTTTCTGTTCCCCCGCACCCCTCACTCTCAATCAGCCACCCATCCCCCTATCACACATGGGTTACTGTAAAAGCATACCTCGGGCGATAGTTTATGTCTGTGAGCGCGCAAAAGCCGGCGGTAAAGCTTGATTGGTGGAAGGAGTGCTGGTCTAGAACGTCAGTGGTCGGTGTCCGAGGTGACCGGTTACAGTGGTAAAGGGTATGCACCGAGGAGGGTTTTGTACGAATGACTTGGAAATAATTTCCGAAGCACAACGGAGGAGCGTTTGGCGCATTTTGTCCAGCTGGGGAAAGGGGGGGAGTAAAAACTTGTGTGAGAGTGGGTGAGAGTGTATGATTCTGGAGGCTTTCGCCGGTCGCAGACGATCGCAAAAGCGGCTATTACCCGGCTTCAAGAGGCTCTCTCCAACCGAATCCCAGAGCCTCACTCTCCATTCCTTCCTCCCCAATCACTTACCTCTAACTCACCGCAACCCTCCCCACAATCCCATCCACAAATTCTTTATAAAAAACCAAACAATTACCTCCGCCCAATGTCGCCAAAGTCGTCTTCAACCCTCCCATCAACCACCACCATCTTCCACGCCGGGTTGCAAACCGCCTTCATGATACTTTTCCTATCAACACGGAATCCGGGGTACGTGGTTCTCGGACTCACCTGCGCGGCGACGTGGGGCGCTGTGCAGTGGATGGGCGAAATTTCCATGGTCGAGGCGGAGGCGGAGAGGCTGCGGAGGGTGAGAGTTAGGCGGGAGAGGGGCGAGTAAGGATGGTAGTAGGTGTGCTGGATGGGGTGGGATGAGCTGACAGATGGACTGTATGCTATTGTAATGGGTCTTGGGGTGATAATTTATTGGTGGGCTCAACAGTTTTCAGATTCACAAAACTCTTAGTCTACCATACCTCCTTCGTAGTAGGAGTAGTGTTGGACTACGGTACTACCGGCAGCGCCGGTAAGTGGATCAAGATGTCACGAGGATCACTCGAATAAAAAAAAAGAATAGATAGTGCCTATTGCAGCCTAATCCAGGTAGTCGGCCAACTGCTCATTTAGACTGACTAACCAACCCCTCGTGAACCACACACCCAAAGTTAATTCTTACTACTCCGCCGCAAGGCGTTAGGCCGGACCAGCACTTCTATGTTTTTTTGTTAAATCCTAGAATCTATTTGCTTAAAGGTGCAAACCTCCACTATAAGAGCACAGCCCTGTTAAAGCATGGATCCTAGATACAAGGGCACCTCTGCAATAACCACCCCACACCCCCGATTTAGTCCTTAGACATGCTGGTCAAAAACCTCCTCCACAGGCATAGGGGAAAACAAGCCAGCCCAAGTCCCTCTGGTATGGGACCAACTGCACATCTGCCCCCATGAAAGCTCCTTCTGCACAAAACAAAAAAAGTACAAAGCAGGACTGGCAGGAGCCAACAAGAAAACCCATACTGTATTCTCTTGAAAAAGGAAACACAAAAGAAACCCAATAAGGAAACCACCTTGATAAACTACATTCCCCATTTTTCAACCGGTCTAGCCTTAGCTAACAGCTAGCAATATAGGGGAGAACCATGATGCATTCGTTTCGCATGATGAAGGCAACCGACCTGGACGTGCCAGCCTCCTGTGGAGTGATTGCTCATGGCTGGTCGGACGGGAGCATGACCGGAGACAGTGCAATACCAACCACGCATTGCTGAGTAATCCAAACATTGGTAATGAAGTAAACCTGATTGTGTAAAAGAATCCAGAGGGGCGGAGGAGTATTTACAACCTCACACAACCTAGCTGAGATGGCCACTATGGAGCGAGGGGGAGGACAGGAACCACAATCTGGCAGAGTGACCAAAGCCCAATAACAGAGGAGGTGAAAATCTCATTTAGCCCTACAATGAGGTTTGGTGTCTAGGCTTATGAAGCTTCCAAAGTTCAGCACCGGAGAGGGGATCATGAGGTGGTAGTGTGTGGTGTTGACCACTGCCACCACCTTCCGAACCAAGAAGGTGAAAGGCGGGGTCAGGAAAATAGCGGAAGAGAAGCTTGCGGACCAGCACTTCTACAAGTACGAGTACTTGTACTAGTACCAGTAGTCAGATACTACTACTAGAAATAGTACTAGCTCCGTAAGTGTACAGTAGTAGTTATCAGCGTGACCAACCATGCGCCCAAGCAGGAAATCACAGTCGGGAGACAAAACTTATTCCACAGCACGAGTCAAGTTAGCATCAGTACGATACTACGATACTCGCTTGCTATCTAGACACTTTAGCGCCAAGGCTGCGTAGGCTCGAATTCGTCTTGGCGCCAAAGTATCCGCATAGCAACCAAACCAGAGAGTACAGTACCAGCGCCACGCAGGGTAGCATCCGAGCTGAGAGTGTGAGTCTTCTGTCTTCTCGAAGCCCATCTTGCTCATCTCCGGGGGATACGGCCCCGCTGGATTAAAGTTTAGATACTCAGGGCTAACCATGGTTCGGTACGATGTGTAATTTCTCGGGTGCGGATGGGCCGGGCATATGTTATTGCGGACCGGGAGAGAGCGCCAAAATTGGTTGGTCTTGGTGGGTTTGACTGCCCTATTAGGTGCTGCAGAGGCTATCATGTGGTGTGAATCACGCTGGTTTGAGGCATAATTTTGAGCCGCGCAATTTTTGCGAGAAGCAGTGGTTATTTTCTGTTTATGTGGGTTACAGGTTTGCTAATAGTAGTTGTACTTGTACAGCCACTACAATTTTTGTAATTAATTTCCGCTGGCATGATTTATGTATGCTCAGTGCCGTGACTCCTTACTGCTCTAACCGTGCACACCGCGAAGCACTTAGCCATTTTGCGACCCATGAACGAACCTTCTCGAGTGCTCGGGTAACTTGATATTGTACAAGCACCGTACACCGGCGCCCGCGAGTCCAAGTCAAATCTAGATGCGTCTTTAAAAAGTGTTTTTCTTCTTCCCCGAAATCAAAAGCCCCCGCACAGATAAGTGAATAGGCTCCTTAAAATAGGGAGGAGCTCACCACCATGCGTGATAGGGTGGTTATCACTAATGGTGATTACAAACCACCAGTCATCGCCACCGATCTTGCCGTCGACAGGTGCGATCGCGAGACTTTCCCATTTCTCGTCCGGGAGCGCCGCATCTTGAGCACCCCTATTATGGAGGCCGAATTTGGCTAGCTGTGCTGCGTTGTTGATGTCTAGGAACGGGTAGTAGAGTGCTGGTTTGATGTTAGAGTTTAGGATGCCGCCGTCGGGTGCTATGGTTATAAGTTAGATGGGTCGCGGCAATCATAAGTGTGACTCTTGATGGATGTCGTATTGCATGGGGAATATCGAAAACATCAATTTGACGGTCGTTGGAGAGGGAGCCATCGGAGCCGTGGCCAGAGTCGCTGTCACAACCGACTAAGGATGACGAACTAGTCTGATCCAACCAAGAGGATTTCGGGCTGTGCTGCGGTGCGAGGGTTCGTCTTCTTGGCTGGATTAGAGTGAGAGGGCTTGTTAACCGTGGCATCATTGGGAGTGATTGTGATCGATGAGGATAATGGTAACATGAAGGTGGAATTCAGAGGAATGCGTATCATACATCGTTGAACTGAGGGAATGGAACAGCGTATTTCCGGGCCAAGCGGGTTTTCCCTGGACCGGTGATATCACTTGACCATAACAGGTGTACAGCACCTGTTTGTAAATTTGCTAAGTCCACCTTCTTTTACTGTGCAGATTCCTCCCGTCGTTAGAGGCAGTGAGACCCTCAAGTCCCTGATTATTTGATCTTTCGGGGGCAGGGGCAACTGGATCCGGGAGTTGGGCTGGGTCGTAGGTCGGCTGGCTGAAAATTAGAGACACTTTGGGGGAATCTGAGTCCTCCTTGCGGATAGGGATGAATGCATCTGGGGGCTAGCATGGGTGAGCTTCCCGTTCCGATTGAAACGGTATGTAGATGAAGTGGCCATATTCACCGCTGATTTAGAATCCGCCGTAAGGGTCGGAGTATCGAAGACCAGTCCATCAGGATCTAACGATAAACGATTACAGCCAGGCCCTTCACCACCAAAGTCATCGCCAGTGAACTTCGCAGCGGGCAAGTTCGGAAAACCATCAAAGGGCAGAGAGGTTGTAAGATCCAGACCGGATATAGGGCTGCCGGCAGAATCGTTGAAGTGAGTTGTGTTTAAGTGGGTAAACTTAAGGTTTGGTGGTGATGGAGCCGTTGGAAGGATGGTGTTTAGGGAGATTTTGAATTTGTGGATCCGTGGCTGACGAGCGGTCGTCCCCCTGAATAAGACATTATGTTAGGATATCTCGACAAACTCTACAGTAAGAGCAAACATACCATCCGCGATCGGGCAGCACTCATACAATGCCCTTATTATCCCTCGCACAGCTTCTTCCATGAAGGGCTTTCAATGGAAATGCGAGAGTCAAGGGACAGAGTAAATTGTACAAGTACTAGTACTTAACCCTGAAGTTACAGGGTACGAAGCTGTAGCCACTCAATTCCTGAAACATAGCTCTTTCTATTGCAAACGGTGATTTTCACAGGAGAAGAAGGCTTCACTGGACTATCGTTAGCCCTAGGCTGTAAGATGGGAATCTTAGCGTACCATAGGCGACTAACAACAGCGCCAGGATAAGCGAACAGAATCGTCTAGTTTAGGCACAATTTACGTGTCCCTCCAACCTCCACCGCCCCCCCAACTGAGGACGATACTCGTGTGAACGCGATACCGGCATTCCAGCTCCCCTCTTGAGAATAACGGTACGGCAAAGCCAGGGATCTTCCCCCGCCCGCTCTCGATCGTGATTCTACAAGTAATGGATTTACGTGTAGATATAGGGTACTTGACCTGTTTCACCCAAGCGTGAGCTTGGACGGGGTGCAGAATTTACCGTAGTGTACTGCCGGCGAGGCAGGCACAACACCACGGATTCAGCCTAAAGACCCTGGTTGGATGGGAGAAGGCTGTAGGATGCTATGGAGCGTACGGAGGACCGACAGTTTTGGGCGCTCGGATACTGTTGTTTCTGTGATAAGAAAGGGAATATTTTGTGGGTCGACTGAGATCGCCTGTAATTGTTCGTCAACATCGCTGCGGGCACTTGCACGGGCACAGGGCGGCAATCACCTCAGGCGGGGGAGGACAATAACGGTGCGGGGCGGGCACGCGGGGAGTGCAAGGCTGCCCATCGGATTCAGAGGTTTTGCGCCTGGCTAATCGTATGTTTTATTTTGTTGCTAGGCGCTCATGATGCCTGACTTGTGAATATCGAGGATGATACTTGTAGGTTATGGCATCGCGACCGCAGCCTGTTGTGGCACGCCTTTGCCAAGAGATATGGTGCCGCGGGGAATTAACCAACCAATGAAAAATAGTGCATAAAAGTATGACAGGCAGGTGATTTTTTATTTTCCCTCACCGATTCCGTACAAGGTAACCTATGGCAACCAGCGTGAACTTCGGCCTAAGACTCGGAAGCCACATAATAAAGGAACTCAAATCCTACCGAGAACAAACAGAGATAATGTTTCAGGTCAACGAAGTTTATTGTAATAGATAATGATATACTTATTACAATCTGTACTGTGATGATGTCGGCTAGCAACTCAACTGATAGAATCCTAGTTTTAACTGTATTACTAGATAGGAATGCTAAGAGTAAAAACAAAGTTTATAAACAGGTTGCTAGAATATTAAAGAGCTCATATTCTAGAGTTAAAATAGCCAGTTCCATTTTGAGTACTCATAAGAGAGGATTTACAGTATTGTTAAAGAAAAAATCATAGGATTGAAGAAAAGTCAACAGAGATGTAAGTAGGACATGTAAAAGATAAGTATAAATTGGGATTTGCATGATTGGTATTACTATTAAGTAGCAAGTAGTATTAAGCAATATTAAGACTAGTAAAAACTAAGGATCTTTATTAGTATAGTTAGAATTAGAGCAATATTACATTTTATAGAATAGGACTCAAATGCTTTGTATGTTTTCAAAAATCTCTTTAAATGCTACAGTGTACTCAGATGCTATAGCAGTTAACTACCCCCTTACATGTATTAGGCAAAAGCCAACTCTAGTGTGCATTAAGAAGACTTAGAGCAGAATCTTTGGTATAGATTGTTAGACAGAGACAACATGTATAGACTCAGAATTGTCCAGGCCAATCAAGATCCATTTCTGTAGACAGAGATTGTCTAGGAAGGCTCGAGATACACTTGTCTCGTTTATAACTGCTAAGAGTGAAGTGAAGTAGGTAAAGTAGAAAAGAATTTTAAGAACTATATTATATTATTAAGGTCTCTTCTCCATTGCTTGATGATATCTAAAAGCTTGGGAGACTCTTCAATATTTATATTCCGCGTCTGAGTATTTGTGGACTATATCTATCTATTATATAAACTATTTACCTCTTTAGTTTTATCTTACAATGTTGGGTATTCTCTAAAGATGTGAATATCTGGAGATGCTGAAAACCTCCATATCTTGTTCTGCAATTACGGTCTTGCTAACTAGAAGCAATACTATTCCCAATAGTAATTATACAATCTTCAAAGTCATAAGACTTATGGCCTAGTTCTCAAGTTGTACTAAGTTGACCCCAATTATCTCCCTTATTGATGAAATGATTGGTTTCATCAACAGGTTGTATCTGCGGAGGGAGTTATAAATTCAACTTCCAATATTGCTGACTTTAAACTTCTATAACTCGGGATTCAAGAGATAGATATTTTCCAAATGACTTCCTATTAATTCATAAGTAGCCATTTTACTGGACTGGTAAATAATTCCTTAGTTGGCAACTCCGCGAAGTCAGGTATGCAACCTTCTTAGGTTACTAACTTTGAAGCTTAATATCTCCTGAGCAAACCCACACATTTCTATCCAGTGACATTCCTCATCAAGAGGAGAAGCACTTCTATGAGATAGAATCTTAATCTATTAGTCGCAGGTTCTCAGTTGTCATGCAGGAAGCCTTGTAGTTGGAGGTATTGGTAGAAAATAACTTGATACCAGAAATAACATTGATGACAACAGGAGTTGAATACGTGACCTTTAGAGAAGAATTACATGATATTTTAATTGAGCTAAAGACGTAGCATTATAGTCATAGGATGTAACTGTTAGGAATACTAGGATCCGATACCTAGGAATCATCCTAAGTAGGGTAACCATACCTGGAATCAGAATCCCTAGTGTTCAACATCCAGCTCCAGCCCCATAACAGGGCCCATATGTCATCATACATATTAATTTCAGTTGGGTCCTGTGACTATAACGCCACAAAGTTAAAGGTATCAAATAACAACATATACGTCACCACCGTCAGTCTGACCGCATCCTGTTTGCAAGGTATATAAGGGAGGACTTTTGGCTGGGTCTGAGAAGTGAAATGGAGTAAATCTGTCAACTACTCAGAGAGTTATCAGGCTTCAAAGATGTAATATCTTTGGAATAGGCCATAAGTAACAAGATGTTTTTGCACAAAACGATGACATCGAATAATAAAGTACCTCGACAAGAGACTAATATATTAATATCTACCTTCCAATAACTAGAAAAGTTTAGAACTATGAGAGACACAACTATAGAGGCAATAGACTTCATAGAGTGTTATAACTAAGTTTCAGAACATGTTGTAGCTACGGGGATGCCTTCAAATACTACAATAGTTATTGAAAGCCTGTTACACAAAGCAACTAAGTGTTGCTGACCGAGGAATTATTTGTCAATCCAGGGGAATAGTTTCCTGCTAATTAGTAGGAAGTCTTCTGAAAGATATCTATTGGTTGGATAAAGAGTTATGAAGGTTGAAGTTGGGTGACCTAAAAAAGTTGTGATTATGACTACCTTTATAGATATAACCTACAGATGAAACTGATCATTTCATTAATGTTGAAGACAATTGGGGCCAACTCAGTTCGACTTGTGAAATGGGCCATAAGTCTAAAGACTCTAATGATCAGATAATTACTATTATAAACAGTATGATTTCTAGTTAGTTATATTATAAGTGCTGAAAAAGGTGTGGTGATTTTCAGAGTCTCCAGGTAGTTGCACATTTTGAGAATACCCGATGTTGCGAGTGATAATCAGAGAGGTACATAATTGTATAATAAATAGATGTAGTCTACAAACATTCAGATATGGAATATAAATATCGAAGTATCTCCCAAGCTTTAAACATCATCAAGCAATAGAGAATAGACCTTATCAATATAATATTGTCATTATAATTCAATTTTAATTTATCTATTTTACTTCACTCTTAGTAGTCATAAAAGAAACAAGTGAAGTCTGAGCCTTCCTAAACAATCTCCATCTACAGAAATGAATTTAGATTGGCCTAGAAAATGCTGAAGTTTATCAGGTTGTCTCTGCCTAACAGCAACTGAGATAGGTATATACGATGATGCGTGAGCCCTATAAACCCACTGGAGGGAGGTGTTGGAGACCAGAAATTCCGATTCCAAGTGGGGTTACTCAACTTAGGGTGATTCCTAGATATTGAATCTTGGTACTCTTAAAACCAGTCCCCTTACGTGGCCTACACATCATCTTATATATTTATCTTAGGTCCTGTTTTGTAAATTACAGTAAAGAAATATGAAAGTATTTTTTGAAAATGGCTTATAAGCCAAAATAAAATTACTGTAGTATTTTCATAAATAGACCTATTTGGTAGTACCACATTTACTATTATATTATTTTAATTTGTAATCTATTATTTAATCAATATTGAAGCTTATACTAGCAGCTTGATATACGAGCTAAGATATGGGTTGAATTGATAGCACCTAGTACATTGTTGAAGTAGGGGTAAAACTTGGAGTTTCTTTCTACCTTTTATGGATACTCATTGGCTGATAATATA